CGAAGCCCTTACTACTGCGGAAGATTGAGGGAGGTATCTAGAAAGCATCGTAACAGCAAATATTGTAGGTAGAGGGACGATTCATGGCCATAGCTGCCGCTATACGGTTACGACACTTCGCGAAAGCCAACGCTCGGCGAGGGCGGTCATTGTAATGTCGGTGCCGATAGGACTTTGGTTGTGTCTCTTTTGCTTGAAGTTTGGCAACGAGGTAGAGGGGCTTAGAGCGATAAACTGGCAGCTGAAAGAAAGCCCCAATTGGCCGCCGCCATGTTGCAAATTTTTGACCACTAGACACGTGACCTTATATTTTTTGGTCTAAATTTTAACGAAGTACCTCGCACAAATAATTGCTTATTGGTGTTTACTAAGAGTACCGACGATATAAGTTACGTTTCGTTTGTTTTAAGTCCAGAATGTGGTTTTACGACAAAACCTCGGGCAGCATCGCAATGCCTCCGCTAGATGCCGTAAGCTGCGGCGTTGTATTTTAGGTTTTTATCGGAGCTAGACACTGATCTCCGGGTCTCACAGCATTGAAAAAATAGTTTATCGTGTTTTTTTTACAGCGATCGCAATACAAATGTCGGCTCAGTTTTGCGAAAAAGCCTCAAGATTTGGTACGGTCACGTGTCTGGTGGTCGAATTTGTACAAGATGGCGGCAGCCGAGTGGGGGTCACTTTTGCTTGGTGAACGGAAAGCAAGTTTATCGCTTTAAGACGCGTCTACCTCTTTGAACTCGTATTGAACGTTCTGAGCGTCGTTCCTTTGCTTTAAAACAATTTTTTTAAACCCTTTATGATAAATGAAGCGTGCATATATACATTTGCATCGCTATTTAAAAATATATAATATGACATCAGTTTTGGTTTCGTTTCGGTTTCGACTGTGTTCCTTGACGCGCATCTCCTCTGGAGTTGTTAGGCCTATGTACCGTGTAACACCGGGCAACTCAGTTGAGCTCAGTGACAGTTGGGAGATGTCAACAATCGTTGGCTTAATGACAGTTGAGAACGCTAGTGTAACTATATTATAGTGTAGAATCTGAGCATATAGTGTTTTGGAACCTTTGCTCCGATGCCAGCATCTATTCGCGCAGGCTGCAAACATACGTTGCTTAAAACCGTCACGTCGTGTCGGCGTTGGTTCGTTCATTCTGTGATTATGTATAACCTGTCGTTATGTGAGAGTTTTTTTTGCAGGCAGAGTTGTTGCAGTTTAACACCTTCGTCTTCCTGCAAGAGGGAGGGGTCCCCTTGCGGCCCCTCTTCAAATTTGGGCGCCGCTGCCGTGAGCCAGCTTCTGGGGAGAAATACAGGCATTTTGATACTTTAGCCCATCTTCGAAAGGGGGAAACAGCCACCGGATGGCCAAATAAACATGCCTTTCGTCTACTGCTTGTCACTATACCGGGTGTTTTTGCGAAGACTTTCAAAAATCCTAAAAATTAGGGCGATTGAAAAAAGAAGAAACTCTCTTCGGGAACAAACTACCAGCCACGGCGGACGGCAGGAATTGCCAAAAACCTACTAATTAGCCAGATAATTAATTAAAACTTGTTAATTAACTTTTTAATTAGTGGAAATAGACGTATGATTCCAATTAGAAAGTTGCTGAACATTATCGAAAACCACTAAATCAGTCATTTTCAGAAAGACTTTAAGCGCTTGAGAAGAGTAGTAGCGCACTAAAATTACCACTCGTGGAGCAGGTACAAGGCTGGGGCTAGATAAGAGGCGGAAAAATCGCGCGGGCGCCTTACCGCAAACGCTAGCCTTGTACCTGCTCCACGAGTGGCAACTTCAGTGCGCTACTACTCGTCTCACGCGCTCAAAGTCTTTCTGAAAATGACTGATTTAGTGGTTTTCGATAACGCTCAGCAACTTTCTAATTGGAACCATATGTCTATTTCCCCTAATTAAAAAGTTAATTAACAAGTTTTAATTAATTATCTGGCTAATTAGTAGGTTTTTGGCAATTCCTGACGTCCGCCGTGGCTGGTAGTTTGTTCCCGAAGAGAGTTTCTTCTTTTTTCAATCGCCCTAATGTTTAGGATTTTTGAAAGTCTTCGCAAAAACTCCCGGTATATTAGGCGCTTGAGAAAATCAGCCCTCTACGTTAAGTCTTTATTTTGTAACACTTCTTGTTCTCATTCCACCCATTAAAAACATGGCGTAAGAGCCTAAGTAGGCACCTGGTTCGCCGCACCACCGTCTTCTTCCGCACAACGAAGTCCGTCTGATATGATCACCGAACGTGGAAAGACGCACATGCGAACGCTGCGTCTGAAGAGCTACAGCGGCGCCAGCTCCCGAATGCCGTCTGCTACTAACGCGGCAACGCTATGCGGAGCGCAAGTCCTTCTGCTTCGTGCACAGGGGCTGCGATGATGTCAGAGTGCCGAGCTCTTATTTACTGATTGAAAAGAAGAAGAGTGGGTAGACCTCAAGGCACCTTGTATTGAGGACTACCCACTATCGTTTCAATCAAAGCCCATGAGAGCTCGGCGTCGTTCTGAAGTCACCGCAACCTCTGCGCAAGAGGCAGACTAAAGCAGACAACCCGCTCTCCGCATAGTTCGGGCTCCAGGCTGGCTTCCAAACACATCGTACCACTCGCTTCGCTCCGCTGGATGTTGCGTTCATGCGTTCGTCTATGAAGATGCTGCCATGGTGATGCTCACCCAGGGGGGTCCATATCTCTTTGTCGAATCACGTGTTTCATGGAAACACGTTTCGTGGACACATGTTTCTTGGGCGCAGGTTTCTTGGACACACGATCCGTCGACACTGAAATGTTTGATGGACACATATGCTTCTGCAACGTTTCGTCGACAATTGTCTTCTTTTTTTCTTATGGCGCGTTTACTTTTTCGGATTCGCGGGCGGATCCGCACAGACGGAAAGTGGATTTTGGAGCCCGGTGGCGAAATCGACTTGCCGCTGGAATAAAATCTGGAATGGATATGGGTCCCGGATTGATCCAGACTTTCCGCCAGCGACGAGTCGATTTCGCCACCCGGCTCCAAAATCTACTTTCAGCCTGCGCGGGCCCGCACGCGAATCCGCAAGTGCAAACGCGCCATTAAGTGGATTGGATTGCTGGATTCATTTTGTTCGCTGGAAGCATACTGGAACCAAAGTGGATTCATTCATGCGGCTCCGGTAGGGCAAAACCAAATTTGCGAGCCCTAATCCCAAACTGCCAAACAGTCCGCGTTACGCGCGGGCACCCCTCGCTCCGCTTGAGGCAACATATTATAGTGAGTTTTAATAATTCGTATACGAATGAACGCAAGGACTGTGCGTTTGCGTTGCGTGTTCCACACTGCGCGTTCGCTGAGCCCACACTGCGACCTTGGATTGGCGCATGGCGTCGACGCGCATGCGCAGCGTGGAGCACGCAACACTAAAGCAAGAGCACAGCGCTCTCGTTCGCTCCCATACGCAATACTAAAACTCTATTCTAACACCCGAGCTTACACCAGGCCACACCTGGACTGCCAAGCGTTGGGCAAGCTATAGGCCACCATCCGGACGCCGGCGACCAAGGCGTATGATTCTTGTTTTATTTCTTTACATTAGTTTGTTCTCGTGTGTTCCCATGTTTGTTCTTTTTCGGTTCGCTGCTGACCATTGAAGGGGCCCGAGGACTCGTTAAGCTGTATATTAGTTTTTTTGTTTTTTTTTGTTTTGTTTTTTACCTTGGGTCGCCCTAGAGTCACTAATAAGCTACGATTTAGAGTAACGACATTTCAGTCATCTTGGTGGTTAAAATCGCGGTTGCCAGTTATCCGAAGCTTTATCTGAAATCGCAGGAAACGTTCTTCCGTCCTCGCGAAATGTTAAAACAGTTCGCGACAGAGTAGAACGATTTCCACTGAGCTTCCTGACACCGCCTGTAAAGCTGCTCAAGTCGCATTTTTGAATTGTGGCGATCGACAGTTGCGTCTGCTCTGCACTAAGCACCAAGATGGCGGCGCCCACTAGCATGCTCGGGGAAAGGAGTGCAGATACCCTAAGCGTACCTCATTTAGTGGCTCTAGCTACCTGAACACAACCGATGAAAATAAAAGTTATTCTTACTATTATTATTACTATTATTATGTGCGCGGAAATACGCTTTCCAGGAAACGTCGCTGTGTCGATGAAACGTCGCAGTGTCGACATAACGATCTGTCGATGAAACATCATTCGACGAACTGATTGCCACTGGTCCCAGAGACGGGAGCATAACGTGGCAAATCGTAACCGTTGACATCGGTGATCCCGAGAGAAACAACGAGAGAGCTGCTTGAATTAGGGTTGCTCGAATGCTCGTCAACTTTATTTTATACAACGCGCGGCGCCTGTGTTTACGTGCAAATTAAAGATTGAAAAAAAAAACTAAGTACAGGCCTTGGAAGTGATATGATTTTCTGCTTTGTGTATAGCAAATCGTCGCCCTTCCGTCTATGCCCCGCCGTTCCGAAGCGGCCGATATGCATTGCAGACGGACTTTATCGTACGGAAGGAGACGGCGGGGTGCCGAGATCAAGTTTGTTTTTTTGGCTTTTGCGCCGTGCTTTTAAATGGGAGGAACGTGAACAAAAGGAGTTCGAAACAAGGACTTAACGCATAAGGCTGAAATTCTCCAGCGCCTAATATTTTGACGGGCTTTACACGAAAAAAGTGGTGTTAGCTAGCAATTTGGACTAAGGTTTTGTACTGCGACACGTGGCTAAACTACCGATGTGCCGAAATAGCATGGACATAGCTGCCTATGCCACCCTTAACACATCTACGTATTTAGCCGCTCAGAGCGCTAAATGCAACGACAGGTGCCACGTCTCTAAAACACCATAAAAGGTCCCAGGCTGAAGAAATGTTGACAGCAAAACAAGAATCAAGCGACACCTTTCTTCTACTCACGTTCACAGGGAGATATTGGCCAAGAAAACAACAATCAAGGCACCAGAACATATTTTTCCCAGAAAGAAACGAGACCATGACAACAAACATCCGCAGTCGCGATATAGAGTTTATTAGTAATAAATAATAGGAATATAGACATATACAATTTCAAGTTCATCATCTCGATGGTCGTATGTACAATGCGGGAAGAGTGGAAGCACTTGCCAACTCAAAAACAAAACAAACGCGTTCCTCGGAACCACAACAAGCAAAAACAAATTCTGGGACAAGTGGCCAGATGTCACCGACGGAAAAGGGCTTAGTAGAATTTCCCATTCTTTTTTCTTTTTTTTTAATTTCAGCTTTCGTCGTTTTTATCGAAACCAGAGAAAGTGCAGTTTCACTCGTGCTGCCACAGTCACACACGCAGACGCACCATAAAGCCACGCATGCGCACAACGACTGTGCTGACGTTGTCCCCGGATCACCAACGATGAGGATTAAAAAAAACAAAAAAAACACAAAATATCAAGAAATAAAAAAATAAAAAAAAACAAAAAAAAACAACAGCTCTCGTTCACTCTACCGGGATCGATTGATAAATGAGTTGCCGCCTTCAAACCGCGCTGGTGTCAGATCACATCGCACGAGCTCCGACTGTACAGAGTGCACCGAGCTACGGCTATTGTACCTCAGAATTAAGACAAACGCCAACGTCTCGACAAATTCGTCATTACGAAGGTTAAGACTGGCTAAAACAAACGGCAGATAGGCCTTCCCATCCGTACCCGCCGGCTACATGGATCGCTACCAGTTCTACGGAATGACAGCGACCACGGAGGCGACGCAAGGGCCACGTACAATAGGAAAAAAAAAGATACAGAAGACAGAGAATGAGCCGAGAAATTGAGGACTGATAGAGAAATTAAAGCGTGGGCCCGAAGCCAGAGCATTCCCTCTGCATCGTAATATTCAACTCCACTCGATTTTGCGGTACACGTTCGGTCGACACACCTCCGGTTTAACCTATTTACCGATAGAATATGGAAGAAAAACACGAACTACTTTCTCAGAAGCCTGTCTTTCGGTCAATGGACTCTCCCTGAGCTTATCGATTGGTTTCCAGATAGTCTTCGGAATATTTCTTTGGAATCTCGATAGGCCACTGACCTGATGTACCGTTACGTTTGCATTAGGCGCTTTTGCTCCTTGGAAGGGTAATGATCGTTCCTCCAATGAATTCGGACCGAACGTGAAATCTGGCGAGCTCGTTGCATCCTGACAGTGGCATGCGCCCAGCGCGGCCTGGCGGGCGAAGAGCGTCGACGGGTCGACGTCGTATCGACTCTAGCGTGCAGTAGCTGTACCTCTAGAGTTCGGTGGAGGCTATTCACAAGAATCACGCGAGTTGAAGGGTTGACAGATAGTTAGAGAGACAGGGCACTGGTAGAGTGTGACGCCTGGCATCTCGAGGGAAGCGGTCCTGGGACGAGAGGCAAACATGTCTGATTGCAAAGAGACAAGTGTGCGGGTCGGTTTATATACCTAAAAACAGCTTACAACGAAGCGCGATGCGTTCTTTTTTTTTTTCGCTCTTTTTTTTTTGTTTTCTTTTTTTTTTTTTTTCTTTTTTACACAAGACCTCGGCGCAATTTGTGCACCAGCCGTGCCAGACAGAGTATGACCCGCTACAAAGCCGTCGTCATCACCACCGTAAAGAAACATCGGCAAGGGTCAGGCCCCACTCTAAAAAATTCGGCATTGCACGTGTAGCGTCTGAACACAACCGCGGTACAACCTAAGTCGAATGAATGACTTTACAACGGTTCCTTAACCTACGGCCACCGCAATGCAAAACACCGGCTTGTATTGAAGGTCCAAGAGCGCCCCTCGCTCCGGATCCCGTCCTTTCTGGGAAGGCTGTCGAGCTGCTTTGCGAGACGCACGCGAGCGAGCCCTCGAGTTGGCGAGAGCGCCATCTCTGCGTGATATGCAACATCATTTCGGCGCCGCTAAATAGCCGACTCCGCGCCACTCGCACGAACCCCCTGATCTCCAAGCGCTTCGAGCGGTCGCCTTCCCCGTCCTCACGAGCCGCCACAGCGAACAGCACCGAAGAGCAGAACCCCGACGGCAGGCGCCCGCCCAGACATCATCCCCCCCCCCCCCCCCCCCTTTCCTGTAAGCAGCGCCAAGCCAGACAAGTGCTTCTATAAATTACGCCCGCCTCGCCAGAAACGTGGTCCTTGCCAGTTGTCACAAAGAAACTCGGGGAATCGCGGTTGCCCTAATGCACGCCAAGATCGCGCAGAATGCGGGTCCCCGGCGAGCCAACGGCAGAATTTCCTTATTATCCGCGTAAACGCATCTTGAGGCGCTGTTTCCGCTGCGTCGGGTAACTCGCGCTGCTTGAAAATCCACGCGCGGGGATACATAATAGAAAAGATGCCACGACTGCGCGCCCGTGGACGAGGTTCACCTACCGAACTGACAACCCAAGTGAAAATACATGGTCGCACCACGCCATTCCCGGAATCTTCCAGACGACGCGCGCTTTCACCGGTTATTGCGTCGTTTCAATCTTGCCGACTCGACCGCCACCGTGCCGAGCTGCAGTTTTCAAATTACAATCTCGGCCCGCGCGGACTCCTCCCCCCCCCCCCCCCCTTTTTTTTTTTCTTTTCTTTTCTGAGTGCGTGTGTGTGTTTCTGCGTGGCTTAAGGGTAAAGCGGATGGAGGTCCAAATGACGATTGTACTTTGGGGCGTGATTGCGTCTGTCCGGATGGTGGCTCCTCTTGTTGCTGCTGCCGCTACTGTTGTTCCTTCCTCTTTGGGTTTTCGGTTGCTGTCCCGAGAGTAATCGTCCGCGAGAATGCCCAAGTTCTTACTGCCTAGGAATGCTGGCTAAGTCTTTTCACGCGATTGTAGAGGCAAGAGTAAAAAAAAGGTAGAAAAAAAAAAGGCGGGGGGGGGGGGGGGGGGCAGACAAATATCGCCACGCATGCTGTTCGGTTTCTGCGGCAGTTCGTGCTGTCGCGTGCGGTGCTCGCCAACTGCGAAATGCCCCGTGACAATAGGAAAGAAACAAAAAATCGGAAACACGGTGTCGTTCCTTTGTTACTTAATTGACTTTCCGCTAGAGACTTCAAATGCATCCTTTCTATTAAGAAAAAAAAAAAAAACGTTCCACGCTCTCGATACACATCTTTGGTTGTTAAGACGTCATTGAAACAGTAACCAATGACAGAACCAGCGGGCCCTTTCGCGCCATCTATGAGCAACTAACTTCAACTACCCCCAGTGGAGAACTTGCGCAAAGTCGCACGTTGAATAAAAACTTGTGAGCATCGGTGTGCATAAGGATGAAAGCATCTCATTTCTCCTTTAAATAAGACGAATCAAAGTCGACTTTTACATGGCAATTACACTCAACTATGGTACATTATATGCACACAGGAGACCCCAAAACAGAAGAATGATTGGAATTATGTACACGTATAAAGGCATTTCGTCAACACGGTTCGTCGTGTGCTATGACACTCGATAGCTGTCACTATTGTGTGGTTCTTTTGAAGAACGCGAAAAGATAAAAAAAAAAAAAGTACATCACATGCTTTGATATGAGACATCCAAGTGCACCGCTCAAGGTATGTGGTCACCAAAAAAGGTCTACCGCTCTAATAAATTTGACAGCGCTCTCTCCTGTCACGTATTTTTTCAGACAGTCGCCAAGAAGCGTCGTTTCGCGAATGCACAAGGGGCTTCTTCTCCGAAACCTTTCGGCTTAAAGTGAAAGGTTGTTATTGCAAACATTTTGAGATTCCTCTGTGACTGGATATGTGATGAACGACAAGAGTGAGCTTGAAACGAAGAGGGAAAGAAGACAGACAGCCTAAAACACGGCAAGTTCATCATAAATTAAGGAATGTTGGTACAGTCGCGACACCTTAAGACTGGCCAATCGATGCCCTCCGGCGCCCCCTTGCCGCTGTAGAGGTGTGAACAATCCGTTTCGCTTGAGCATGTAAGTCGCGGCTGCCGTGACCGGCTTTGTTTAGCTCTCCTTTAAGTGAGTTAAGTAACGCTCGCCCTGCCGATTTAAGTGGCGGGACCGGGTGCGACAGGAGTGGACATCGGCTGGCCTGCTTACGCATTTCACTTCCAAGATCACTGTTCCTCGGTTCACGAACCGTCATCATCACAACAGGGTTCGAAGAACGGTCAAAACAAAAAGAATCACATTGAAAGATTGCCCCGCGGGTCAACTACTCAGCGGGCCGACCGTGAGTCCATGGGTCGGTGGTGTCCACACTGGAAGGCGAGTCCTTTACAAGCGGCACTCTGCCGTCACACATACTTACTCGACAACTGCTTGGCCAGTTCCGTATATTTGAGGAATTTCGAGTGCGGGCTCTCTTCTGCTGGAGCAGCCGGAGAGGTTGCGGGAGAGGCGGCCACGGCCGCGGAAGGGGCGCCCGCAGGGGAGCTGTGGCTGCTGCCGGGGTTGCCGGCCGCTGCTGGCGGAGACTCCTTGCAGTGCTCCCTGTGGGCGCCCTTCCAGGTGGGCGAGTCGCCCGGCGGCGCCGAACCGTCTTTGATGAAGTGCATCTTGGAGAGGTGGTGTCTGTAGGCACCCTTCGAGACGAAGTGGGTGTCACAGAAGGCGCACTTCATGAGCGAGTCCGACGTGGCCGCGTCGTTGCAGGCCCAGCTAAAGGCCAGGATCGAGCCTGGGCTAGCCGCCTGTGGCACGTTTGACCGCGACAAGTGGGCGTCCGTCTTGTCCAGCAACTTCTGCAGCTCCTTGAGCGGATGGTTCGAGACCGCGTCGCCTTCCCCGTTGTGATGGCTCCTCCTAGAGCGTGACGCCGCCGCCGCCGGCACCCCTGCTAATCGCGGGCTTGAGGTCTGCTTGGGCTTCGGGGACGATGGCGCCTTGACGTCGCTTCCAGGAGCGTCACAAGAGGATGATGATGACAGATCGTCCGTGTCCGGACCTCCGCGCTCAGAGGACCGTCTGGAGGGCCCGCCGTCCGCGATGACGAGGTCGTCAGCGCCCGGAGAACTGGCCCGAGTTGAAATGGACTCGGCGGGAGATCTGGGCTGGCTCAGGCGCTCTGGGTCAAGCACAGTAGGATCGCCGTCTTTGTCGTGCCTGGGCGAGGAGACGCCGCTGTGAGGCGACGCCGCGCTGTGGCTCGCGGGACCTTGGTGCTCTTCGGAGGGGCACGGCGATGCCAGGCCACCCGTGAGTCTGGGCGAGTGACCCGATGACTTGAGGGATGCGTAGCGGGGCGAACCAGCAGGGTGCCAGGGTGGGTAGACCTCCTCGTCAATGCCGAGCCGCTGCAGAATCCCAGCCGAGGTGGGCCCGCCGCGCTTGCCCTTGCTGTCGAAGCTCTTCTCGATAAGTCTCTCGATGGCGTTCAGAACAGACGTTGAGGAGGACGACGTCGAGTTCGGCGTTGTTTCTGACTCGGCGGAAGCGGCCCGGTCGGGCTCGGCTGACTGCGGTCGCGGCGACTCGAGAGGGGGAGGCGGCGGCGTATCGTCCTCGGCGCTCTTGCGCGACTCGTTCGAGGAGCAGGGTTCCGGCCGGACCTGTTGTTGCTGCAACGCGGTCTTGAGCAACTGCTGCGAGCGGCTGCAGCTCTTGATGTGCTGGACAAAGTCCTTGGCGTCCACCTTCTCGGCGCACTCTTCGCAGGCGATCTTGCCATCGGTCTCCGTCGCCCCAGAAGCCCCAAGCGGACTGGCCGCGGCCTGCGGTCCCGCACCAGCGGCAGCCGCACCCGGGGCTCCCGGGCCACCCCTGGTCGTCATCTCCATACGCTCGAGTTCGAGCAGCTTGCGGACAGGCAGCGACTTCTTCCGCCGCTCACGCGTCTGTCTTCGGCGGCCGCCGCCCTCGGTGATCGAGCGCAAGATGTGCTCCTTGTAGTGCGAGTTCTTGACCATGTGGTAGCTGAGTTCCTTGAGCGAGCCAAACGCCTGGTCACACACCTTGCACGTGAGTACCGCGTTCACCTGGGACTGGTTGGCCAGCTTGTCCTCCGGCGTCCGCCAGGAGATGATCTGTTCCTGGCTGATGATGTTGGTGTAATGCTGCGTGACCCTCATGTGCGTTGTCATGTCGGCAAGCGACTTGAACGACTGTCCGCACCACATGCACTTGAGGATCTGCCTCGTCTGCTCGGCGCCCTTGCCTAGCCAGACGTCTTGTCCGCGGACCAGCTTGCGGGGCAAGGGTACGCCGTCCTTCGTCGTCGCTCCGGATGCGCCCGGAGGCGTGGCTGTAAGCTTGGGCGGTGGTGGCGTTGTGTGGCCTGCTGATGAAGACGTGGCCGGCTGAGATGGAGGCACGGCCGCGTGCATACCGGCCATGCCGCACCGTGGAGACTGCTTCATATGTAACGTCATGTCGGCCAGCGACTGGAACGACTCCTTGCACCAGACGCAGGTGAACACGTCCTTTGTCTGCTCCCCACTGCGGCTGATCCACTGACTTTGCCAAGGGTTCTGCCGGTTCGAAGCCGGCCGGAACGAATCGCTCTTGGACTTCTCAGAGAAGCCGGACTTCATGACGGGTCCAACTGGAGTGCCCATATCTGACGCAACCGAACGCTCGCGCTTCACTTTACCGTTCCACGAGTGATGGTGCTGATGATGGGCGTGGGGTTCGGCCGCCATATTTCGCGCAGCCAGTGCAACCGGCGACGGCGCGTTCGGCAACCTAGGTCCCAACCATGGAGTCCCGCTGGCTGTCAAGCCGACAGGACCAGGTTCCAACCTGCTCAGTTTGGCGGGTTTGTGGTCACGCATGGGAGGCCGGGTTCTCCGCCGAGACACCGACAGGTCCAGGGGAGAGTCCGTAGCCCCGTTAGCTGCGGGAGGATCTGGGGCGCCCATCTCTTCATCTCCAGACTCGGCGACTTCGCTCCCGGAGCCTCCGGGCTTTTTGATGCTGAAATCTAGCGGAGCGTCGTCTTCGATGCCACCTTCATCAGCTTCGTTTTCTTCTTTTTTGACGACGACCATCGGCTCCAAGACTGGAATCTCGTCGCGAATGGGTTCCGCGACCATCTTTTGCGGCAGTTCATTGTCATCGGGGTCCTGCTTGAGGACAGCCGCGTCGTTCGCAGGATACTCATCTTGCATAGGGGAAGCCAAACCAGGTGGTTCTTCTGTAGGCGGCACTGAGGCGGCTTCGGTCTCCGTTGATGGTGACTGGGGTGCAGCAGCAGCCGTGGACGGTAACCGAGGTGGCGTCCCCGTCTGCTGCGTCGGCGGCGACGTACTTCGAGTGTCGCTCGTCACCGAGACGTCCTCCCGAGCATCGTCGGCCGCTGCGTCCGCCTCTCCTTTCCCTTCACCCTCTTCCCCTGCAAACGGAAGAAACAAAAAGAAACAGTGCATCAGAACCCTGAGCTAGAAGCACAGCGATCAGATTAATAATAATTTAACAGTGTTGGGCGAATAGACTTTGTTCAAATCTGGGTGCATCGGCCCTCCAGGAGGATGCACGTACGCCTTGTCGTAACGATGAGCACGTACTTTTCCGTTTTCGAACGGTCTCCGCAACTGTGTACTCTTTCAGAAAACAAACGTATCAAGTGGACCCACGCGTTATTCGGCCAATTTCAAAGACTAACGAGAATAGTGTATTTGATTCATAGTGGCGGAACCGACCGCGTACCGTGAACTGGCTGCCCACTATTGCATGTTGGACATGAGAAGTGCAGGAAAGCCAAGCCCCCCCCCACACACACACACACATTTTGTGGCTTCACGGAAAGAAAGAAGCGTTCATCCATGACGGCATCCTTCTCCCAAGATTTGCGCCCACAAAAATACAAAGCTACGCCTTGGGCATTGAGCGGAGCGCTGTTCTTTCTGAGGGCGGAGCCTTTCCAACAATCCTTACGTAGCACAGATTATAAACATACTCAATATTTCGGGTGTTTTCTATGCAGACACTCACGGCTTAACAAGCCCAGGGCTTCCCGCTACTTCTTTCATGATTGGTTCTCCGGCGTTCTGATCGGCTAACAACGCAATCTCATTGGCCGCGGACCGATCATAAGATTCTTAGGATTCGCCACGCCCTGTATTATTTAGGCCGTCAGTGAGTTTAGGTCTTCAACAGACCTAAAGTAATGGCAATTGTTAGAATCTTTATTCGCAAAACAGAAAAAAATCGTTTAGCACTTAAAAAAAAAAGGAGTGTAAAATTAATCGGGGCAGCCGTCTTTCAGAGATAAAGAAAGCTCTTCCATGCACTGTTGCGTACCTTACGTTAAAAAAAAAAAAAGAAAAGAAAAAAAAAGCAATTAGCGCTTGCCGTCATTGGCGTTTTCGCCGTGTTTCTTCGCGCTCCTAATAAAGTCATGAGTAGTTACTTTGTTCTTATAAGCAACCCAAATCGCCTATTCCGTTTCTAGTTGAACCAACAATTTTGTTAAAGTTTTGTCTAAATGACGTATCCGAAGAGCCCTTGTAGGGCGAATATTTCGTGGAACGTACCGTATAGTTATTATACACCCAACCAAATCAGGAAAAAAAAAAAAAAACATGCAGGAGTTAGTGGTGGTTCCCGAACCGCTCTTATTTTATCTTCCGATGGGAGAAAAAATAGCGATGTTACCTTCTCTTTCAAGTGGCTCACAGTTTACTTTTTATATCGGCTTCGCCGCGGTGGAAAGCACATCGCACACAGACCTGTCGGCTCCGTCACATGCTGCGCTCTTATTAGGACATGTGACTAAGCAACTCGTGTTGGTCCAGAACTAGAGAGCAGCGAGCACACGAAAGAAGCTGCTGTACAAGCTCAGGACCAGAACACTAAAACCATTTCGAGACAATATTGGCGACTTCAGCGAAATCGACGCCGCGTTGCGGCAACGCCGAGAAGCTCAGGAGAGGAGGTCGTTTCGGCCCTGTCGTCTGCTATCGCTGCTTGGTTCTCGCAGGCAGCATAAACAAATATAGTCTCCAGTAATTATTTTTATGCTTCCGCCGTGTCATTCCTACGCACTGATTAGAAGAAGGTTTCTACCGTCAAAAAATCGCTTTGCCTTTCATATGTAACACCGATTTTATACGCTGCAGTGCAAGCAGTTCATAATGGTCCGCGTGCTGAACGACGAAAACGACCTTCATTCGTTCGCAATTTTGCCTGACCAGCGCATCCCCCATAGTTCGCTGGAGTCGCGAATATCCGTCAGGCTTACCCAGCGAATTAAAGTGGGATTTATCCGATATGCCAATAGGAGCCCAATGGGAACTGATAGCGATGACAGCAGAACTTTAATTAGCGCGAAATTTAAAACACCAAATAAAACGACTTGTGTTTCAAATGGGGGCACGGGCCAGACAGATGAATCGGCGAATGGTTGCTTTCCGATAATTCTAAATGGCGCTGGTCGATGCTTAACATGTTTGCAAGGTCTCGCATTACGAACGCGAGTACAGAAATTCCAAGGCATTCGAATCCAAGTGTGTTGGTAGAGAGTGGGCAACAGCTCAAGAGGTCCGAAAAGGGGCTACTAAGATGCAGAGCGTAGCTGATGCCGCACTCGAACGATGCAACATATCCATTGCTTGGTTGGTGTAGCGCGTTCTAAACAAGCTTCGACGTGCTTGAGCACGCGCGGTCCTAATTACGTTCGGTACCTATCTGAGTACAGAGTACATATCTGAAAGGGCATCCACGATTCTGCTTCCCATTCACGTGTGTTCGTGTGACTGACCAGCCATTCCCCAAACCGTGAGCTGGCGCTCCAAACTTCTACTGCGTTTTCATCAACTTTAAATATCAGACGTGACGTCAAGCCTCACGAAGAGATGGACGCCGGCGCGGTAGTTACAGAATTATATTTCAACCAAACCGCCCGAAAAGAAAAAAAAAAAAAAAAAAAAGAGGTGTGATATTAGTCTTTTCTATCGTCTAATGAACTAGCATTGTAGCGACTCCGAATAAGCGATCAAAAAGAGAGCGTTTCAGCTTCCCCTTTCAACGCCCTCGTCTTCCGAGTGCCAACCACGTTTCACAATCGCCGCGGCAGTCAGCGCCCAGTGCGAAGAAAAGGACGGCCAAATGCCGCAGCGGCGCGCACAAGCTCGCCTCGGATATGCCAGCCTCCCCGATGCAACTGCCGCTTCAACGCGAAAGATCAACCGCACTGGATGCGTAGATGATAGATGACCGACGCGGCCGGAGCTTGTGAGAGCCAGGTGCTCGGAGCACGTGCGCCGCTATCGCGCTGTTTCTCGAGCCGGGGGCAGACGCCAACCCTCTCGCGGCAACGGCGCACCTCCAGAACGGTCGGCCGCTCTTGTGCCGCGCAGTAGACTGTAGAAGTGCACGCGCGACGCGGAGAGGGCGTAAACGCGTGGGATCCAGTCCTCAGGGCCGCCTCGGGAAGCAAACCGTTACACGGAATCAATTATTCGTAATCCGTCCCCCTTGCAAATAATTGATGTAATTTCACCGTTACATTTTCGCGGAAGTAATTTGCTATGGGCCTTAATTAGAGGATACTTGAAACAAATTACTTTATTTACTTGTTACTTAGAATTTAAAAAAAAAAGCATGTACGGAAATAAAGCAATATGATCAGTCAATTTAACAACATATGCGCTCCCCCGTACCTCAAAAACGTTATAAAACATAGAGGGTGTTAGATTTTTCTTCGAACATATTTATATTGAAAAAAGTCGTGAAAGACACACTAATGCGGTCTCTGCAGGCAAGTTATCCGGTCAGGGGGACACAATATAGGTGGCTAAGCGTCGCGATAAGTCGGCTAATTCCCTATAATATGTTAAATAACTTTCTAATTATTGAAAATAAACGTGGGGTTCTAACTAGAAACTTCCAAAGCGACAGCGAATGCAACTAATTCATTCAATTTTAGAACGACTTGAAGCACGTGGAAGCGCTGCGGTGCGCTAAAGTTGCCACTCGGTCAACTGGCACAAGGCTATCGGTGACAAGACGTGCATGATGGTCTTGTCATCCGCGTTCCCGCACGGCTACCCTTGTGCCTGTTGCACGAGTGGTAACTTTAGCCCACGACTGCCGCTTCCCACACGCCCCAAATCTTTCGAGTTGACTTATTTTGTGGTTTTCGATGACGCTCGGCAACTTTCTAATCTGAAGCATACGGTTCTTTTTACTAATTCCAAAGTTATTAAACACATTTTAGGGGGAAGGGGTGGGGGGGGGGCATTAGCACATCAACATCAAAAGTTTTGCCAGCGGGTGCTTTTCGGAGTTTTTCAGATTTATCTAAAAACACGAAACCCTAGTGATAAGGTAACTTACGCTTCGCTTCAGAGCCGTGGCGCTTACCATACATTTGCAAAACACTGCACTGCGCGTTTTTTTTTTTTTTTTGACGATGTTTTGTTTGAAAAAGTGCGTTTACTTTCGGCTGACTCATGCGTACGAGAGTATGGCTCTAGAAGGAGCGTTGATATGCGCGAGCGCGCACTCAGTGTTGCCTTAAATGTGCACCCTCTCGAGCCCGCGGCTTTTGTCGGTACAGCACACAACTATTGACGACGTGGGCGAGGAAAAGCGTCGCTGCGGTCCGGTTTCCACGCCTTGCCGAAAAATCAAAAAGCGTTCCTCACTGGAGCTAGTACTTAGGGGTGGACGAGGAGCGGCTCGAATGGCCCCGAGTGATTCGCAGCCTTCACAGTGCTGGAGCAACCGACGACATGCGCGTTCTCTCTGCAGTGCTGAAGCTGACGCTGCGCTGTTCGATTCAAACCGCACTGTGCCCAACCCTACCAGTAATGTCAGACACTCAACAATCACGGTGTTAAGACAGCGTGCTTTTTACACGCACCATGTCGTTCGCAAATGATAGGTAGCCAGATATGACGTCACGGCGAGGTAAATCCTGAGCGAGACGTCACAGAGGGGATCAGTAAGGGATGCGGTACCGAAACATCTCGGCACTAAATGGACCGATGTCTCACCAGCGAGTTTGGCAACACCACCGTTGTCGCAATGCATCGAGCGAACATGAGCCTTTCTGCAAGTGCGACAACCTCGCTCGAGTTCTGCGCAATACACTGCACGAGACCGCACAAATCGTCTCGAGTACTGACGCTTGCCTCCTGCGAACCGAAGTTGTGGCGCTTCACGCGTGCGCCGAACGCGCTTGGTGAGATCGGTATACATTGTGAGACGCGCAAGTTTTAAAGATGCGCCAGGAGCTCCGCCTGCAGCACGCGAGCTCGGTGCGTTCCGTCGCACTTTGGTCGGGCGTGCGGACGAGACTCCGCAGTCCTACCGAAGATACAAAGCTCGCGCTGGAGCTTCTTGCGCATTCTTAACTTCTATCTGATCAGCTTCAGTATACCCATGTGA